GGGCGGGGGGGGGGGCGGGGCCCCGATCTGGCGGCGGCGAAACGCGTTTGTAGAGTGGGCGAACACGATGCATCACGAAATGGTGGTTGAAGAGCAGCCGCCTGGCGGAAGCAGCGCGAGTGGTGGCGGTGGCGGTGGCAGTGGCAGTGGCAACGGTAGCGGCAGTGGTGTCCCTGGCGGAGGTATGCCTGGACATGGCAACACGATGGCAGGCGGGGCAGGCGGCACAGAGCAGCACGCGTCATCATCATCGGGCTACAATGTTCCCTTGGCGCTTGCGGCGGACACGCTGCCACCGGAGGGTGTGCAGTTCCAGTATGCGCCGGTAGGAGGCCTTGGAGGGTGCCCTTGGTGGGGAGCACGGATTAGTTGCTGGTCGGTCTGTCAGTCTGTCGGTCTGTCGGTTGGCTGGTTGCTCGGGAGTCCATGACAGCTCGGTAGGATTGGAGGCAGTGGACGCGCTGCATCTTCCACCACCATGCATAGGTGTGTGGCGCCGTGTATGGTTTGCAAGGCCAGGTGACACTGGCACCCGCATGCTGCCTGGGCTCGCTGCGGGTTGGTCGGAGGCGTACCAGCGGGATGCGGCTGTGTGTTGAGTAACCACTGCTCGAATCCACTTCTATCCATCTACACACACGCATGCGAGGGAAAAGGATGCCACCCCGCCGCCTTCACGCGTCTCAATGGCTACCTGCTCGCCCCGTGATTGCTTACCGCCACATACCCCATCCACTTACCCCCTACCACCACATGCATGGCGAACTGCTGACGAACTGCTGAGCAGGGCGTCTACATCACGTTGAAGCCACCGGCACAAAAAGGCGGCCCGGTTCGGCTGGTCAAGGTTCGCTTCAATCGCAAGATGTTCACGGAGCAGTCTCAAGGCCAGGCCTGGTGGAACATGCACAGGGCGACATTGGCGGAGATGTACGAGCTGACCTTCAACATGGGGAACAAGGTACGTGCAGGCGACCAGTGGCTGCGTGTGTCTGTCTGTCTGTCTGTCTGTCTGTCTGTCTGTCTGACGACAGTGCTTCTGGCCGAGACACGATAATCAGCCAACATTGCACACAGAACAGGGGGCAGCAAACGGATAACCCACAGAAGGCGCCAAAGGTGGAGACTCGAGAGAGGGAGCCGACAATCCAACCAAGGAAAGCGGACCCCCCGGAAGGCCGAGGCCGCCAGTGCGAAGAGGGACCTGCGGGGAGACGGGCCCGTCTATCGCAAGCGCAAAGGACAACACAATAGCTCGGCGACACCTCACCACACCACGTAAGCCCCATCCAGGAACAAAGGAAGGCTGCGCGGAGCTAGTCGCGTCAGTGCCAAGAAAGGCTAAGCCATCGACCTGGGCACGACAGCGGTACGGAAACGCATCAGAATGATCGCACATTCAGGAAAACCGGGAATCAGTGGTTTACATCTAAGTAATCTAAACCTAAGGAGAAGGAGATCAGTCGCGATGCAAGTAGGCAGATGAACAGGGCGTAAATCGCCCACGCACATTGGAGACCGCAGTAAGACGCAAGAGTAGCCAATAAATTTCCCTGTCATAAATGCAAGCATCTTACCGCCGCTCTGGACCCAAGGCTTAAAACTTGCGGACCACCGTCTATGCTTCAGTGAACAATATCTGTCACCTTCACAAAAAAGGGGCTGCCATACACATAATAACAGCCATGTTGTCGACTTATGCCGATACCAACCCTGATTCACTGTACTACTGCACAAAACCCAAGTTATAATCCAAGAATATCACAACATCCTTTCAGCACTAGTTGCAGCAGCATGCATGATGTGAGCTAGCCCTCCAGACCAGCTCCCACCCAACCTGCCTCACACCCAGCACCTGTGGCAGTCAAGCAGCTCCTTATGCTCCCAGAAAGGCATGTACAGAACCTCCGCAGCCTCCTTATCCATCTCCTGCAGGCCGAGGGAGGGAAGGGTGACAGGCCTTCATTCTCGCCTTCCTATTTCATTAGGTTCATTAGGAACGGATACCATAAGGTGGCAACTAATGCACGAATTGTTCTGGATGCTGTGTGCCAGGTGCACAAGTAAGGTCAGTGTATGGT